ATCCAATCCACAGACAAATAAACATGCGTTTCCAAATCTCTTGTTATCTTGTTCTAATACGCTTCAATTGAACAGGAAGATAGGTTACAGACATCTGATGAAGAGAGCACGTGGGGAACGAGCGGACACACGCGCTCCGGAAATACGATATAGGATACAAACGAATAACTGGCAGATTAAATTACACTTGTGGATAGTGACTGAATAATGAATGATCTGTCCAAAACCTAGGACGATTGACGTAGGCGATAGATGATATGGAGTGTCTGCTTCACTCGAAGGTCGCGTTTATTTGCACTAGCTGTATTCTCCAACACGGCTTGTTGTTTTGTTGGTTGATTTAGTGTATGCGGGTAGACCGGCTAACACAATGACGGCATTTTGTTGTAGGGTGACAGATCGACACCGACTAACACTTAAGCTACCAACTTATTACTAGCGTACATATATTAGTAGTTCTTGGGTAAAGAGCTCGATTCAAGTGCCTCATGAAATAAAGGACAGAACCGAGATTCACAATATCCGAGATTATGTTATTATTATTATTATTATTTTAACACATAGATATCGGTACAAGGAGGCGCGAAATACATATGCGACACACAAATCTCGTTCGATATGTGTGGGTGCTGTGATACTGCCCGGGTGCCTAAACCGAAACAGGTGGTTTGCTTAGGGTGTTACACCCGAAGCCTTCAACCTGGAGGTCTGGTCCACAAGGCAGTGGAGCATCGTAAGGAGATGCAGTTCCATGGAAGCCGGTGACCAACAATTAGTTCATACGCCATTTGTTCCTTCAGGATGCTGGAGCCCATTTGCACCATTGGTTTGGGATCCGGTTAAAGCAACGGACCTTCGCTTTTCGTCCTCTCAATTTCGTAAGCAACACCTCCGCCACGAGAAGGCAGTGAGTCGGACTTCCCTGGCAGAGGTTTTATACGCGTGGCCATGTGAGACTTTTCGAGAGGGAGAGCAAACTCTCCCCACTCTCGGCCGTACCAGGGCATTTGGGGGCTGAGATTAGGTAAAGTAATTGATTTTTGATGAGTTCTTGCGTGTTAAACGCGAATTCATGAGAGGCATAGAATATCTTAAGCATTAACAAAGCAACGATATTTGTGAAATCAGAGGTTCAAACACACACGTTTTTGACAAAACCGTCCGTGTAATTAGTCCATACCAATTGATGCTTTCGAAAGGCTATTGATATCGCTGACATATGAACAGTTGTAAATTAATCACAAAGGTAACAGCTAAAGTCACGGTGATTTTGGCAATCGTTCCAGTTATGCTGGAATTTCATATATTATGTACGTGTTTAGGTGAGTAATTTGCATCCTGTGTCACATCATTTTGACTCTTCGTTATTGCGTTATATGATGCTTAGAAGTATTTGAATAATATATTATGAACTAAGATTCCCAGAAATAACGTAATCGGATTAAGAAATACTAGATAACCACAAACGAATGTACTGTATGTAGAATTCGAAATCAAGCATTCAACAAGTACAAAGGAATTATTAGTTCATTCAAACATCACATCCGCCATAGCTTAAATTGTTGTCTAGGTGTCTGTAATCAATTGTACGTCTTCATCTCAAATTCATCCTGTGTATGTCCGACACTGAATTGGATAAAAGCTCTATTATCATGAACGCACTCATTGTTTTTAGAATTAACAACCAAAATCGGAACAGACTCACTTGCTTCCTGGGATTGTGCAATCAGCATGTCGGTTGTGTACCGAAACCGCTGCTACCTAGAATTTGAACCATAAACTTTTAGATTATCCTCCCCCACGAAATAATGTTGCATCTTCATATTCCCAAGTTATGAATAATGTGGCTTCGTTTAAAATATATTTCTCACATTGGTTAGAGTAAACATTAGAAGTGACTTTGTGATAAGGATAAACAGCAGTTGATATGAAAGCATCCCAATTGTAATCAAAATCGAGCTCACTCAGTACTTGTGCTTCACATTGAACACGTTTACCACAAGAAACAAATGCATTATGAGGAAAAATAATATTTGGTATGACATCAAGATTTGACTCTTCTGAAATAGTTTCCTCGAATTTAATAAGAATGTCGTTGCAGAGTAAAGGATCATTAGAAAAATAAGCATCTACCAAAACTACATCAGGTTTTCGATCATGACTAGGTTCATTCAGAATATTTTCTTCAAATTTGCAGGGAATTTCATCAGAAATAAGTGAATCACTCGGAAAAACCATATCTGGTACAATAACATGAGAAATCTGATAAGTAGATTGATTAGAAACTGTTGTCTCGCAAGAATTCTGAGTTTCATTTTACTCTGAACTGTTATATGAATTTATACTGTCTTTTGAAATCGTTGATAAAGATAAATGATCATTAGGAACAATGGACTTAATAGAATCAGAATAGCAAGACTTAATAGTCGTTGCAGCAAGATGAACAGTAGCATAGTTGACTCTCAAAGGAATATTTTTAGTTTCGTATAATCTATTTGTCATTTAATCGCATGTTGTATGAAGTCAAATAGAAATCAACAAATAACAAAATCTATGTTTCTATCTAAATATAACTAGTATTCTCTGTTTATTCTTCAACAGATAAACAGGAAGTGTTCAAAGTCTATATACATATATGATCAGAGCTAAACATTATTGATTAGAATTGTAATTAATAATAGATATATCATAAAACATGATCTTGGAACATAAATGTGCTGTTACACATTCATTTATATATAAATATCATGTACATATAATAAGACAGAAACTTAATAATAGTGTTATTATAAAATGTATATTCTAGTAATTATAGCAGTGTTTCTTAATTTGTATCATGTGTATGTTGAGACCGCCTGATGCAGTAGCTGCTGATACATTGGCTGTCTTGACCAGTATTTGTTGTTGTGTATGGGATAGAAAAGCTGGGCCATCTGCTAAGCACAAACCGTCTATTGATATCCAAATTGTCCTTCGTATTCCATGCTTCTTTCGAAAGGTGAAGCTTTTAACATTCCATTCGACCATGAGAAGAAAGAGAAAAATTGAATGTAAACAGCCTTGTCTGACACCGGTCTCCACTTGAAATACATCTGTAGGATGTCCTCCATTCACGACTTCTCAGTATAGTCCGCTATCTGATTATACTTAGTTACAATAGAATATACACCTATCGTCAGGTTTTTTACACACCTTCATCGAAATTTTGATTATTTGTAAAACAAACACACGCAACTGAATAGTAATTTTCTAGCTGGTTACTAAAATCTTTCATCAAATACATTAGCTTAGCTAAAATGTCCTGACAAATGTTTTGCAGAAAAAAGTACGACTAATGACTTATACCAGCTTAATCATTTTACAGCAATAAAAATATTTTTTCTTGGAAAGTATAGGAAGGCACCATGGTGAAATCAACTCTCGTCAACAACAACAACAACAACAACAACAACAACAAGAGCAACGAAAAGCTGTTTAAATAATTGTGACAAAAAGAGACATTCATAGATCTTTCTTTGTCACGGTAACATTAAAGCCCCCTTTTTTATTGTTTTTTTCTGTTTTCACTTACTACGTCATTCATTATTCAAACTCCTTCCGAAGTTTAGAATTACATCATTCATAACCGACTGATTCCAATTCATATCTTTCTTTATTACCATTGATCTATTTTCAGTTGCTTGATTACACAATCATCTAATAATTGTTAACTCCATCAGTTCTAATCTCTATTTCAATGTTCCGGTACTTTCTCTCCCAAATTTTATTTATTCTAACCAAAAATTATGTGACCTCAATAACGCAATCGGAATCTTCGCATTGTAGCGATCAAAAACACAAATGGGGGCAAACGAACGTATTTGAACACAATATTACAGAATATCTCAATAAGATCTGACAACCATACAGTGAATGCTTAATTTGCAAAATATCAATCAAATTTCTCAATCTTGACTGTTTCATTTGTTTATATCAGTCTATCGTCTCGGATTTCGTTGATCCTGCATTTTCATACCAATTGCTTTCTGTTCCCGTTTTTTCCTTCTCAATTTTCTAATGATACACATTCTATTCCTGACTATCGTTATATACTATTTATGTGCATACGTAGCGCACACCACAGTATAAATAGACTATAGAAAGTGTTCAGAATGTGTATATTACACACATATTGTTTTGAGTAAATGATGAATAGATTTTGTTCGGTGGAAAAATAATGATATTATTATTACTATTATTAACAGTATGTTGTTGAGGAGATTATTATGTTTTTAACTGAGATTATGAACCGATTGGCGTTAGACCACAATTAAAAACATGGAAGCACTGCACGGCCGATTTGTCCTATTGTCGGAGTCCTCAGCAGTGCGCAACCACAATCCTGCTCGCGGGATTCCAACCCAGCACCTTTGGTCTCGCGCGCGAGCGCTTTACCTTTAGATCACTGAGCCGGCAAGAAAGCAATGAAATTTCAAACTTAATGCCACTTTTTATCTGGTACGATTGTGATTTAGAGGTTTCAGATAATAGTTAGCATGAAACTTTGGTTTTTGATTTATTGCTTATCGCCTTGAAACACTTAAAACTAAAGTCAAGATCATACTCTATAGTTTGTCTGACAATGCACGACCAACAGACTAGACACATTTAGGAATGGTTGACGTTTGCTAGTTAATATCCCAAATCTATGTGAATTCATTTGCTGATAGACAACAAGTTAGTAACATCCCTGAAAGAGTCGATACTATTCTGAGTGTACAATTTCCTCTCAGCAGAGAGGAGACTAGTTGTACTAGATGAGTTATCGTAATTAGTAAAGTTTCTGCATAGGCTTCCGCTTTACTAGCACACGAGTATAAACAATGAAGTAATCGATATCATTTTATTTCAAATGACTTAGTAATTAACTGAGAACTAAGATGATTTTTCAGTTTAAGTAGCAGTGTCAGATGTCAAACTCAGATAGTCTTTCGGCTTATCATATATTTTTCGCTTTGCAGATTATAAATGTGGTAGTTTAGATGGTTGGTCAGATGTTTTGAAATTTCGTGCTCTCCCATCTCATCCTTATTGGTCACCTAAAATAGCAGTTTATGGAGATATGGGGACAGCTGATGCACTTTCACTACCCGAATTAATTCATCAAGTCAAAGATTTAAATAGTTATGATGTGGTATTACATGTTGGTGATTTCGCCTATAATATGGATTCAGTAAGTAACTAACATTCAACCTATTAATAACATAAACACTGGCTAAAGACCGATGTCGTATTTTAGTGGAGTAATACTGGTAAACAAATATCTCTGAACGGAATATAGCACATATAACACTATTTGAGGATTTTTGAAATCATATGCCAACGATGTTCATGAGATCTCAGAAAGATGTCGTTTTCCAGTTTGATATAGCCATTGAAACTATCCAAGAGTATATCCAATGGTCAATTCTATATTTGTTAGTAAATGTCCATTAAGTGCTCTATATGATTGCCCAGAAAAGGTTTATGTACATGAATAATGCTCGTTATATAATTTGTATACTTTGTTAATTATATTTTAATGGTAGTTTCTAGGCTAAATTATTTAAAACGCGTATAAACCTTGGAAAATAACTTTAGTAATGATCGTTAATGAGTGAAATCATATTTAGAAATAATATAGCTGAATAGAAACCTTTTGTATGTTAGTTCATCTACCAACTATACAAACAGCTTCTTTATTCTGGGAAAGAAATTAGAACAATGTGCTTCACTTTCTGACAAAATCATTCGTAGGTTTAACTTAAAACTTCCGCCAGTAAATGTTCATGAACTTAACTATTTACAAAAGTGTTTAGTGGCCCCTGGATATCTGACTCCAGTTAGATCAGACGAATGATCGTTATCGAATGACGGCTGTCGAAATATATATGTCGCCCATCCTCGTATATAATGAACGACTTGAATCGCGTTAGTAAATAACGGAACTAAATAAGTTAAATGCGACAATGAAATTTTGAATACATATATTTTGTAAACTCGTTGATCTGGACAATCGGGGAGACGATGTGAAGGAAGTAAAGAGAAGTGAGAGAAGCGAAATAACGCGCAGTGGAGAATGCGTGTGAGCCAACTCGATTTAATCAAGCGTTAATCGATATTTCTAGTCACAAAAAAATAAATTACAGACATGTATTGAGTAAGATGAGAAATGCACACATATACGCTCAAATAAAATCAGTCAAAGTTGATAAGTGATTAATGAAGAAGGTCAAAATGTGTAAGCTAGAATAATCAATGTGTGCTTAACATAGCAACCGACACTATAACAAATACTGATAACTACCACAAGGGGTTTTGTGGAGATTGTAGTATTTTCACTAGTTGAGATGCGTCGCTCGATTTCGTGGACTAGTTGAAGTTAGACACTAACACCGTTAGGAAACGTCTCAGTGGTCTGGAGGTAAGGCGCTCACGCGCGAGGCTGATAGGTCCTGAGTTCGAATCCCACGAGGCGGGGTTGTGGATACGCACTACTGAAGAGTACCACAATAGGACGAAACGACCGCCTAGTGTTTCCAGGTTTTCCATGGTGGTCTAGCCTCAATTGACACATGATCTGAACTATTGAAATTACTGATAACATATTCCTGTGATCCATTCTTTGAATTTTAGTATTTCAATATGAGAAAATAAAAGTAATTTGATAGACTAGTAGATATGTACTTCATTTATTTGATTCATGAGTCGAAAATGTAGATGCATGGATGACAAAATTAGAAGTCATTTTATTGTTGGATAGATATGAAAACCATCAAGATGTGTCATTGGAAACATGATCAGCAATAACACAAACAGCTGCCCTTAATTCTTTACAGTTTCTCCGCTGATGATACTCAACTAAACAAGATGTTCTTTGTCAGTATAGTAAATTCTTGATAAAAATGCTTAACATCAATTTCTGCACTACATTGTTAGTAATTGTAACCTTTGTGTGTCGCAATTGAATATTCTTACTCTTATAAAAGTAACGCTGAAAAATCTTTCAATGACTTGATACATGTTTTCATGTTGAAACTAAATTTCAGGATAATGCAAGAGTTGGTGATCAATTTATGCGTAATATACAACCAATTGCATCAAAAGTTCCTTATATGACATGTGTTGGTAACCATGAAGCTGCTTAGTAAGTGAACAAACATTGTTAAATTTATTTTCAATTAGTTTCTTAGTTTTCTACAAAGAAAATTAAACAGTAGTGTTGTGATGAAGGAGAACACAGGTGAGGACAACCAGAGTTACTTGATTAAATAGAAAGACCATACTCCAATACTTCATATGCAAAATGTTTATTAAGTGTCACAGACTTCATTGTTCCTGCATTTTCATACGAATTGCTTTCTGTTCCAGTTCTTCCCTCCTCGATCTTCTCAACCTTCTGCTTCCAGACATTCTATTCCTGACTAGCGTTATATACTACTCATGTGGACATAAGTAGCACAATTTTTGATCTCAATAGTTGAAATTCATTTTGAAATCAATCGCATTGTACACTAACATATTAACTTGGTGAAAACATGAATTAAGTAAATGAACAGTGCTGAGCTAAACAATTTTCAACTGGCTGACATATAATTTCTCAATCAGATGTGAAAATAAAATCCACACTGCAATGTAAAAAACGTTCTCGATTCAGTAGGATTAAGCATGAATATGTACGATTTTTACATCTCATACTCGAAATATAAATTTTAGCTTTGTTATCGACTGCTGAAAAACTGATTTAACTAAGTCACCTACATCTGACAGTAGTTTACTTTGTACTGTTTTAACTTTATAGTTGAATTCATGAGTCAATTGAAGCTAGACCAACATGGAAAACCTGCAAGCACTGGAAGGCCGTTTCGTCCTAATATGGGACTCCTCAGTAGTGCGCACCAACGATCTCGCTCACCGAATTCGAAATCAGGACCTTCGGTCTCGCGCTCGAACACTTAAACTCCAGACCACTGAGTCGGTATCCAATGGTGTTAACTTCCAACTGTTAAAAAATAGACAAACTACTTTTATAGTATCAATGGGTTGTGCATAAAGTCATATGCATCAGTGCCTTGTTATATAATTTTACCGATCTGAATACTAACGGTAATGTATTCTGTTTGAAAATTCATTACTTACTTGCGCATGTTACCCCTCGTGGATGAATATAGGCCACCCAACTGCACTCCCCATCTAACCCTGTCTTGAGAAATCCCTTCCAGTTCTTTCCAGTTGCTATTCATCTTTCTCATATCTGCTCCCAATTATCGACGCAATGTGTTCTTTGGTCACCTTGTCAACCGTTTCCCTTCAGGATTCCAAGTCAGAGATTGCCTCGTGATGCAGTTTAAGGATTTCCGCAATGTATATCATATCCACTTCGAAAGTCTTTTACCCAATTCCATCTTCAGCTCAAATTTGGTTTGTTCTCATTCACAGAAAGCTGTTCCTGATGGTATCCGATGAACACCAGTTGAGTATTTTGTGTAGACAACTGTTTATCAATACTTGTATGTTTTGATAATGGTTGTGGTACTGCTCCACGTTTCAGCTCCGTACAGTAGATCTGCCTTGATGTTCGTATTGAAGATTCTGACTTCGATGTTGGTTGATAGACAGTTGTTTCAAGTTCCATATGTTCCTTAATTGTAGGAATGCGGACGTTGTCTCCTAGTCCTGTTAATACAATACTAGGTAAATAAAAGAAAAGTTTTTGTACTAAGTGCACGATTACTAGTTGATAGAAAGTCAATTGACAACAATTCCTTAAAATAAAGAAATAGATTATCATAGTTTAACAGCTAATCTGTATTTTCTTCTTTAATAAACGCTTTTTTTTAGCAATTTCTCAAATTACAAAGCAAGATTCACAATGCCTGGAGGTGATGGCGAATCACAATTTTATAGGTAAATCAATATTGCTATCTAATTATACTAAAAAATTTTATCAATGTAAATGGACAACTTGCTAATTCATATCACTGTTTTTCAATGTTTCATTAATGTCCGATTAAAACAGAAATTAAACCTTTGATATCAATTAGTTATACGTTTGTTTTGATGTTCCAAATATGTTGATGCTACAGAAGTAGAGGACTTCATTAGTATTATTGTTATTATTTGAATACAAGCAGGTTATATCTGATCAGATTGTTCGTAATGTATTGCATGATGGCCAGATATGGATAACAATGTAAGCCGCTATCTGTTCTAATGATTCACAGAATAGGAAAACATGTTATCTTTTTGTTTACAAAGCGTTTATACTAATATCAGGATGAAGTTGATTGTTATTTATCTCCTGTGTGTGCGTGTATGTCTAAAAAAAGTTAAATCCAATGTTAATTGTTCACTTTTTTTTTTAAATAGCTGTTTATGACAAGTGTGTGACAGTGAGTTCATATAAACGTTGACTGTGATCACGTCAATCGCTCTCTTGTTTTACCACCCATGTCTCATAATATTAGTTGCGATTAATTTTCTTTTTTTTAATTTAACCACTTTTGACTAAAGCTTGTTTAATTTTTAGTTTATTCTCCAGGCCATGAAATGTGATACTTACAGGTTTACAATTAATCTATTAATTAAGTATATACATCTATTACTCCTGCTTCAATTACATTCCCCTTAACATCCGTTGTTTCGTCATTGATGTATTAAATGTCATTTATTTTGATAAAAAGTAAACTATTAGTTAAGTCGGCATGAGCTGTTCGCAAATTTATTTTAATATCTGAAATATTCTGTTTATAAGATAGAAGTCGGTCTTCATGTGTGATATATCCCGACGAGAATAATGAATGTTCACTGTTGGAATCTATTTATAGTCAAATACGACAAACATGTTTTTATTGTATAATTGTTAAGTAACGAGACTATGTATATTCATATTGCTCTTACTAAAAGCTTTATTTTGATCTATAGATTATTATTATTATACGATTTAACGTTTTTGAGTTATTATTATTATTATTATTAGCTTTATTCAATATTATAATTTTGGTACAATATAGAATTCTCAGCGCAAATTATTTCAACAAGTTTCCGTTTCTTTCTTCTTGGTCGGTCCTGGCAATAAATATTGAGGAATCGCCAGTTAGATGTTAGTACTTCAGTGAATGAACAACTGAATAATGTACATTCTTTTCGTTGTACATTGCCAGCAACCATATTGTCTCCTATTGAGTTTTTTGT